CTACTCATGAAACTCAGCCTCCATTAGTTGTGCAGTTGTGCTGCCTTTTCTTTTTTTAGGATGCGAGAAAGCAGTCACAAGTGTAAATGTTACCTTAGATCTCCAAACTTTCCTAATTTTTAGATATGGACATTGTAGGGCCTTAACCATCAAATAGCGCTGTATGGCCTTACTGCTAAAGAGTGCTAGAAAGTATTAGAAGTCTCTTTATGACTAGAAGAGAATGCAGGTAAAAAAATTTATTTTTGAGAATATGTAGGTATAGGACTAGAAGAGAATGCAGGTAAAAAAAATTATTTTTGGTGGGTCTTTTGAAATTGAATGGACTGCTAAAGATAATTGGCATAAATGGCCGCTAAGTAACCTTCAGGTCGGCAGGTAACTCCCCTTTGCTTTTTGAGAGCCGCTTGTAACAAAAATTTGGGTTAAGAGGACAATATCTACGTTCTCTCTGACTCTATCTTTTCGGGCCTAGTTATAATAATCAACTAGACATACATTCCCTTTTCCTTCATTTACTATGATCTTGAGACTTTGAATGATGAAACTTGTCACATGATCCTCTATGATCTTACTTGTGTATTGACTTAACACTTTTTTTTTTTTATGCTGAAATCATTATGTTTGGCAGCCGCCATGATGATGCTGCAGACCTTCCTTGTTAGAATATAGATCTAGTTCACAAAACTATTGGTGGGTTTAGAACTTGGCCTTCTAGTCATCTTAGAAGTAGTTATTCTCATGCTTTTTTTTTTTTCTGACTAGCTTGAGAGAATATATGAAATTTACTTCCATACATATGTGGAGAGACCTCCTCAATAGCTAGCACAACTAATGTAAAAACTAACAAAGTCTCCCATCTTAGATAGGGGCTTTCATCCCTAATTATTTGAGAAAGAAAGCTTTCATCAAGATGAGGAAACCACATCATCAGAGGTGCCTTGGAAGAAAGGAATATGTGGATATTGAATCAACGGGGCATGAAATTGGATTGCTTTTCCTCGATCATCGGTCCTCTGGATCTTGGATACTAACATGTGATAGAAAACAAACACCTTCGTAGCTAGTTCATGAGATTAGCCACCCTCTTTATTACATTAGGAACAAAAGAGGGGGAAATCATAGGGACAATGACAAATTGAGTCCAATATGCAAATGGGACAATTGAGGAGGACAAGTACTCAAGTGTGACTCCATCCAGGCCATCACCAAACTTAATCAAACTTCTTAAGGTCGAGTTTGTCATCAAAGACTATAACAAAATAAAGCAAATCCATCATTCAATCTAAAAGTGGTTATGCCATCCATTTTTGCTAATATGAAAACAATCCAAAATATGTTGAATCAAACTCCATGATATTAATTGCTTAAATCCAAAATTCAACATATTTTTAGCGTCACTGATCTTATAAGAAATTGTTATCTATATTGAATTTATCTCCTGATTGATCTAAAACTAACATTGATTGTTCGTTAATGCTAATTGAAATGAACAAGCATCGAACCACAAAATACTTGTAGGGCCGTTACATTTAAAAAGAAATAAAAACTTACCTCATTGATTAAGTCTAGCCAGTGTTGTAGCAAGGGATTCACTTGCACCAAGCAGAGATAAGGAATTTATGTAAGGGATGTGAAGATATGTTTTGATATCTTAAAAATTGTAAATTGTGTTAAGACATCAACTGGTATATTATAACTAGTGGGTACAAAAATATAAGGGTGTTGGATGCCTGTTGCCTAAGAATGCAATGTTAATATCACTCAGTTCAAGATAAGTATATATATTTGCAAGGGAAGCAAATGGGACAACAATAAAACTTTGGGCATGACTAAAGATAGAGCAAAGAATTCCTAGCAAGGTTGCCAGAAATCTGTGAGTTTTGAAAGATGTGCCGTAAGGAGAGAGAGATTGTACCTAATCAATTGATAAAAGGAAACCCTCTTAAGTTCAATGGAAGTTAGATGAATTCATATATTTGTCTTTTGAATACTTTTTGGAGATGTGGAATGTTCTATCTTGAAAGTTGAAAGCAAAAGACAACTCACCCCGCATTCGAAGATATATGCATGTATGTATCTTGGAGATTTCTCTTTTAGATGGTGGTTTTATTTAGTTTTGAGTTCCAAATTCCCATGAAGCAAGTTCCTTTGGCCAATTGCATACTGGAGTGATTAAAGTCAAAGAATACTTGAATAAAAGTCATGGTTGTATCTTGAAATATCAAAGACAGAAGGATTTAATATTTAAAGTATCGATGCGTGAAAAGATCAAATTTTGAAAAGAATTATTGTGGATTTTGAAGGATGAAATATGGGGATAAGACCTCAAGAGACTCAAGATACCCAAATAGTCTATTCTTATGTTAGCTTTAATATTTTAAGAAAATCAACTAATTAAATCTACATTAATGTTGATTAACTTATTAAAAGTTGGGGCTTACTATTCCTCAATAATCACCAGTGAGGAATTGCTTAGGAGTAAGGACTTATGATATCATAGTAAAGGATGTTAACCTTAAGCCTAGATCTTTGACAAGGAGTTAATGTTATCACTTTTTTACATCTCTTTATCTAAATTTATGTGAGAAATCACAATGGGAGTCTTCTTTTTTGTGAATTTTCCCTTATTTTTATGTATTCTTTTATATTTTATTATTTGTTTGTAAATGATTGATTTCAATCAAATTTGATACTATTTGATATTCAATTTATATAACAACTTCAAAGAGAGAGGGGTTATGATGAGGTCATCGATAGGATATTTCGGCGTGTCTATCAGAGACGACCATGGAGATCGACGGCCATGATGGAGAGCCTCTATTATTGATTTTATTTGTTCTAGCAGTTTATATGTTATGCATTTATTTTCTTAGTTTTCCCATTCTACCCCTGAGGGTATTAGTTGCTCTTGTAGCCCTAATGGGCATTTTAGACTTTTGCATTTACTTTTATTTGGAGCCTATTTATATGACCCCTTGTATCTTGTATGAGATTATTGAATGATTGAATAAAATTTGCTACTATTGATCTCTTTGTGAGTTCTCCATTCCTCTAGTTCTCTCCGTGAGTTCTTGATAGAAATTTCGTGAATCTCTGTGTGAGTTCCGGAATTCTTATTATTTCCCTTTGAGAGCTTGAAGAAGAGGTGAGTGAGTCTAGAAATTCTGAATTTTTTTTTAAATAAAATTGCTGCTCCCAAGCTCTAGAACTCCCTCTCCAATTCTCCTTGTCGCCAGCTCTGTTGACTTGGTCAGAGAACTGGCCGCCGGCCAAGTTAATCCCGCCCATGCTAGCCCGTCTGCCGACTCCACTTCCCCCATCCAGCACCCGCCGTGACCCTAGCCACCGTCCAGCAAACCACCCTTGCTGCCGCATCTTCCCCCTTGGACCCAATCACGTTTGAATTTCAAAATACCCTTAATTAAGTTACTTTCCTAACCGATCGAGAACGGCCCCCTTTAAACCCACGGCTCAAATCCTCTCCCCTCTCCAAGCCGCCACCACTCTCTCCCTCCCATTGGGGATCCCTCTTGCGGCGACCACCCGTTCTCACTTGCAAGAATGCATGGAAGAACCCGAGTGGAACTTCGGGTTTGAGTACGACAACAACGGAAGGGTCAACATCCTCCGATCACAGTTCTTCGACGTCGGCTTTGACTTCGACGACACCGTCGAAGAATACTTGGACCGAATTCTACCAACGCTAGTGGATTCCATCGACGAACACTTCTCCGTCTACACGTGGATCATCAAAGGTCGATCTACCGCGCCCCCTCCACCTCCGAGACCCTTCTCCACGGCGGCGTTCCTTGGCTCCTCCCTCCTCGTGGAAACCTCAATACTAGTTTGAACGATCTTCCGCCGCTCAACCTAGTCTTCGTAGGAAAGAGAGAAAAAAGTCTCAAGGTGTGAACAACTCTGTATTAATTGTGGGATTTTTATTTACTAGCCTTTGCTTTATGTTTTCCTTTGCGTTTGTTTAAATAGTTTGGCTATCTTGTTGAAATTTCTTTGCCTAGCAAGTTGAACATCACGAATTCCTTGTAATCGAATTAACTTTGATACATGATTATATAATTGGTTGAGCTAGAATTTAATTCTCTTTTAACTCTTGTGTAACTCCATCCTGCATCACATCAGGTTATGTATGGCTTCACGATTTTGAAATTCTAATCACTTTTTATAACAAGGCCATTAGATTTTCATCTGAATTGATTTCCATTGTAATTTCGATTTTTATCAACGGTAATGAATAACTTGTAAAGGTAAAAATTTGTTATGCGTGAATTTTATATGCTTGTTGTATTTTTTTGGGATCTCATGTTATATTTGTATTATAACCCCTAAAATATATGAAGTCTTATATCATAATAATACAAAAATAATCAAAGAAAATTAATCTTTTTCTCTCTATTTTTACTTGGGATTCATACATCAACATAGGGTTTCTTATTTCTTGTGTCATCCCAGTTTTGATGATTTTAGGATAGGGTTAAGATAATTTTAAAAGCTTATGGGGTTTGCTTATAATACTTTTTCATCTTAATCCATTACTTCTCATGCTATGTGCACTCTAGCCATTTCAATAAGATCGCAACTCAGCCGTGTAGAATTGTGAACTTCTGAACTTTTTTATTCATCAATTCTCTTCATTCTTAGGACTAGACTTCTTATTGGCTTGCTTATAGAGTTGATGAAAATGTTCTGTTGAAAAATAATCTCTGATTATTTAAAAATCTCATTTTAGTCTCTTGATTTTTTAAATAGGGACTTAAATGATGTCACAAAATGACTAATTTGGTCCCTATTTAAAAGTCAAAGAACAAAATTGATATTTGTATATAGTCGGGGATTATTTTGGTACTTCAAAAAAACTTAAGGGATCTATTTGGTCCTTCTTCTCCTTGCTTATAATTCTTCAACTCAGACTTAATGCCTTTCTTTTTGTTGTTCTTTTGATAGAGATAACTTGATTAAATTCCGATATAAAACTACAGGAAATCCATAAATTCTTTGTGGATTATATGATCAATGATAACCTTGGTGCCATATCAACTGCTCATCTTGTTTATGCCGACTCTGAACCGCTTAAGGCTCGAAGCCCCAAATGCCTACAGCTTGCAAACCTTCACTCCATGGCTGTTGATTTTGCCAAGACTGGAGTTCCAGCTGAGATGCCCAGAATTCTAAGACCAAAGGAATTTCCTGATTTCATGGAAAGATGGGATAGATCCATGTATACCTCCAAAGGTGTTCTAGGAAAACTCTATAGATCTGCCACAGCTCATCAAAATAAAGAGACTTCTAATACTTTCTGGTCTGAAGAACTTGCAGCTGCTTCATATGACAATGATCTTGAAGTTGAAGGCTTTGAAATGTTCTTAAAACCTGCGGAAGATTACTATAATCAGTACGCCGAAAAGTTGAGCTTCTTGATGAATTATTTCGGAGCAGTGCATGAAGATGAGATACTTACAGGTTATGTGCGAAGCGGCGGCCCATCATATGTTTTGAGGGATAAGAAGAAATTTGGGGATATTGCTGATAGGATTATGATTGCAGTAAAGAGTTTGCATCAGGAGGTCAAGAGTTGGTTCAGCAGCTGCCGTGAGAGTGAGTCGCTGAAGATGGCCTCTGCTTGGTATCACATAACCTGTCATCCAAAATATTGGTCCTCAAACAAGTTTCTTAGCTTTCCATGGATAATTTGGGATGTTTTGTTGAATATTAAAGATTCCAAGAGTTCTAGGGGAAGAGGAACAAAGGAAGGCACTCTGTGAAATCCAATAACAAAGCACTTCACATCTGGTGCCACAATTTGATATCCTATATTATTGTAGTCATCTGCAGCAATTTTTTGTCAAATAATGGTGAGTGTATGCTCGTAAATATCAATGCAGGAATTTTATAGGTACCTAGCAGGTTCCAATATTCTGACAGAAGGACTCGTCCAAGATAGTCATATCGCCTGCTTACGCGACTTATCCAAATCTGCCAAAATCAAAGAGTCATCCTTAGCACACAATATTAGAAAAATTATATAGTATCTTCCAAACAGTAAAGAGGCACTTATCTTGGTTGTGATCAACATTCTGAGGTCGTTTGTCTTTGAAAGAACCATTAAGCTCTCATTGACATCTCTCAATCCAACTACAGGAAGTGCACAAAGCATGGTTCAATGGTTATGACTCCCTAGACTCAAACGGTCCTCTTAGCTTACAATCATCATCACTCCGAAGGACTCGACCTTTACATTTGGCTGTCAAAATAATCCTTAGGAACTCGCCTCTCCGTGAAGCGCACTCGTTCACACAGACTTAATCCTATATGATTTTTTTCCAGAAGACTTGTTCAGCACACTCATGGATGAAAACATGCCCAGAGGATTCAACCTGTGACCAAGAGCTATATTAAAAATCATTCAAGCATTTGCTAGCTCATGTCACATGCATATATATATATATATATATATATTTATAGTCTTTAATGATCGTTATTAAATATTGTATTTGTATTTTTATCTTTTAATTGTGTATAGCGTTTTTTATAGTCCTTCAAATCTTATAAATAAGAAATGATGAGGTACATTAAAGATCTTTTGGTTACTTATCTGATCTATTGAATATTTTAGCACTTCGAATTTAAATGATAGTATGCATATTTTAGATATGCTTTAGCTTATTAGTTTGATTGTATATATATATTATTTATTGTTTCATAAGCTAGTTTATATTTTGTTGTACTTATTATGATGAATACTCAAAAGAATAAAATTTACGAACTAAAATAAGTAACACCAATAATATCTTAATATTATTTATTTCATCATATTGTATCACATGCCTTATGATTTATGAGATCATGTGCTGAAGTGCAAATTTATGTATTGAAACATGCGAAACTTAATTTTAGAATTTGATAAAATTTTAAATAGTTTATAAAATTTTAAAAATTTGTACTAAAAATTTATTTTAAGTAGTGAGAAATCCGTCACTGTTTTATAAAGTAGTTTTTTATATAAACTATACTTAAAAATAATAAAAAAATATGGGTAAAAAATAGTTCCAAGCCAAGCTTTAATTAGGTCCAACAATTTAACAAAGCCGAAGCAAATGTCATTTGACCGAACAGCTGATCAAGTAAAAATTGTCTTTAAACAGTTATTTTTGTTTCAATTGCTTTTTTTTTCTGGATGGAAAGAAAGCAGTAAAATTGAAAGTAAATTTCAATAATTTTAAAATTAGTTATAAAATAGAAATGTTTAATTATTTCTAATTTCGCTGCACACAAACACCTAACAACTTTGCAAAACTTCAAATTACAAGCTCTTATACGCGAATGACCAAAATATTGCCAATGAAAGAAATAATTCTTCAATTATTTAGGTTGGATATTTGGTATCATTTTTAATTAGAAAAAAAAAAAATTATGACAGAATATTTTGATTATATTTTTATCATAATGAGCTGCTCTTGAATCTATTGTGAAATGACTATAATATATATTATTTATTTATAAATACTTATTTTAAAATAAATTTTAATTTTTAAATTCATCTCAATTTTTTTTGGGGGGAAATAATAGCAATAACATCCTATTACATGAAATCTACTAGATTATTTTTTTTCTTCATTATGTCCTTTTTAAGAATCAAATTTTAAAAATTATGATGATGCTCGAGGCTGAAATTAGAATTTTTAGATCCAAAAACTAATGCTTTAACAGTTATACTTCAGAGCAAATCATAAACCCTAAATTTTTTTAAAAGTGATGATGCTACTTTAAATCATATTAGATTTTAATTCTCATATTAAATTATTAAATATATAATAATGCAAGAAATGAATGACTTCACATAAAATTAAAATTTTGAGTTTGAATTAAATTTGATCACAATATATTCCGCAAAATGTAAGATGCCTCTATATAATTGAGCACTCTTTTGAGCTTTATACTTATTGCATGCTGGAACATTTGTGGTGGTAAAGTTGTATTGAGAGTTTAATGTTCTAGTATTGTATGAAGATCTAATATATACACATGAAAAAGAGGGGTGCAGGAGTAGAGAGATATCATAATTTTTACGTGGAAACTCTAAAAGGAGACAAAACCATGGGGCCTTATGCAGTTGAAATGATTCCAATAGTGTTTATCGTTAGTTAGAAATGATGTCTTTCACCAATATGATACTAAACTCCCACAAGTGCTTTTCAAAATTTCTAATCATTCCTATAGCCATTCCTTTTTTAGTAGTTATGCCCATTTGACAATTCATATTTTAAAGCTCCATAAGCTGTTGAAATGAATGAAAAATAAAGATTTGTTGTTGGGTACATCGTGACATATATAACACATGTAATTTCATCAAAATGAGCTAAAAAGTACAAATAACCTCTACTATCTCCCATTATGCAGTACTATGACAAGCTTTTTTGTTGGAATCACCCAATTCTAGAAGTAGAAAAATTCTTTGATAATATGAAAAATTCTTTGATAACACTATCAAGCATTATGAAAGTAGAATTCCAACTTGTTAGAACATTCGGTCTTAGACCTCTTTTTGAATCTAAATAACTCTGCTTAACACAATCAAGAATTTTTTGCTTTCTTGCTTTAGAGCCCTTCACATATTTTATGCTCTCCCTCATTTTTGAGATTGAACCATCAATCTCCCTCAAGCCCTCCTGCATTATAAGATTAACAATATATGAAGTACATCAAACATGCAAAAAAATACCTTCATATGACAGACCACCATGTAAATTCAATTAATCTCTCAAAAACTCTATGTAAACATTGTTTTTAGAAGCGTTGTCCAAAGTGTTACTAAAGAGCTTAGACTCTATTTTCATTCAAGAAAAAGATATTGCAACTTCATCATACCATCATGAGGGGGTGACATGAAAGAAAAACTTATAATATTTTTATGTAGGTGCTAATCATTATCAATAAAATACATAGTTAATTAGCAAATAAGCTTGTCAGTGTTTAATGTCCATAGGTCTAATGTTAGCTAAATTTTGATAATGTACTTAGATAATTGTGACCGTATATAAGATATTTCTTTAGTGAATAATTTCTAACAATCATTCATTCCAGTACTCCTAGAAAATATTTATGAGTCCTGACAAAGATACATTAAAAATGTTATGAGTCCTGACAAATCATGCATAATGATACATGAAGTAAATAAATCATAAAATTCTACTGCATCAAACTTAGAATCAGCCATAAAAATAAATGAATTAGAGTTGGTTCGCAATATGAGCTGGCCTATATCACACATATCTCTTCTCTTGAAATTTTGTAAGTGACACCTTAAATTACCAGTGCCATTTTTATTATTATACAGATATTGTGCATTACATTATTTACATTTATACCTTTGTTTGCAATCTTTAGGATTGGACAACATCCCAAAATAACCCCAAATTACTGAAGTCATCTTTTTAGGCTTCTTAATAAATTTTCAGCCATCATTACATGAATCATTAGATGACTCTGCCACATTATCACCACTATCCACTTGCTCATTCTTATCAAAAAAAAATCCCAGGAATGGTGATTGAATCCTCCCTAGCAAACCAATTAAACCAAATTTTATAATGCATATATGCCTAATATTAAAGACTATTTCTTAAATGTCAAACTAGTACATAAGAATGTAACACATTAAAGAAAACAATGCTGATTTCAGTTGCAATAGAAAAAATCAAAGTGTAAAAACCAATAGGCTAAAATAAGTGTAATGAAACAAAGTGCAACAACAAACAAGAATAAGAATCAGTGTAAAATGCAGAAGGACAAAAATAAAAGTGTTACAATAAGTTTCAAAAATACATCCACCCATGACCCAATAACCCCTAAGACACTAAGGCACTAACATATACTGAGATACTGTCATATAGATGAACAACATGTATGAAATATAATGAACAAGTTTCAAAATCAAAGATCAATTATTATCATGTAACGGAGTACTAGCAAAATGCATATCAATGTCTCCCACAATCCCATCTTAACTAAATATTCAAATAATAAGCAATTAAGAAATGTACACTGCATTTAATCAACTTAACCAACTTGAAGAGTGAAGAAAAATACATTAAGCATTTACTACATAATAAATGCACATCAATGATTCAAGTTCAATATTTATCCACCAGTGAGCACTACCACAGTCTCACAGACCAACTGCATTAAATCCCATATTTCACATAATAAATTATAAATCCATAAAGCATAATGAATAATATATTGATAGTTGTAGACTTGCAATGCTGCTGTAGAGTACACACTATTGAAGTCCTTGTATTAGGTATAATCGTATAAAGGAAACAACTAATAAGTTAACAATGAATACAATCATTTAATAGAAGAACAAAATAACCCTAAATAAATCATCCAAAGAAAAATTGGGGAAACCCTGAACAAATAATTCTAGAGACAAAGAGGCGAGAGCTTAGATACAACACATGTTGAAATGAATGGTAGCCATGATACACATAGAAATGAATATAGCCTAATCCTAAATCAAAGTGCTCACGACTCATCGCGTGGCGCTGCGGGTCAATCCGTATCTAAATTAAGTTTTTGGGTTGTCCCGTACTAGATCCAAAATTTGAAACGTGTCAGAACTTGGGATCTAAACCCGATCCATTTTTCAAACAATTTAACCCAAGCTTGAAAATTTTGGGTGAGATTTGAGTCAGATTTTTGTGTTGCGTCAATTTTTGATGCCCCTAGACATATCAATACTTATACTTTCAAATGTGAAAGATAAAACTGAGACAATTGCTTTTACATTTTTCATGATTATGAAGGCAAGTTTAGCATTAGTTTAGTCTAAAAAAGATTAATGAAACAAATATTTTATATAAAAAATGAAATGATTATCTTACCCATAACTTGTTAAAATGAATTTGATTGTTGTTATGTCTAACCCCATCAGAAATTCAAAACAAAAGCTTCGTAAAAAAATTATAATGACATATTTGGTTGCTCCAAATTCGAAATCATGTCTTCAAAAGAGATGAAATTCAAAACATAAGAATAACAAGAAATTTGACATTTTATTAAAAAAATATCAAATATAATAATTATATTTTAAAACTCAAAATGAGTAAAAATGAAAATATAATAATGTAAAACATTTTATTTAAGCACAAGCAATAAAATAGCCATAAAATATATTCAAAAAGAAGACTTTTTATATTACACTTATCTTAAAATTAATCAAACAATTTTAAATTTTATTCTACAGAAATTTTCCACAGAAGCAAAATTATTTTCTTTACAACAACTTCATAACTACAGCCATTCCAAACAAACTCTAAATCTATAAGTTTGAATAATTTATAAAATTTAGCAAAGAGAATCACGAGAGAAAGGTGAGAGTTATCTCCTTGAAGACGTAAAAGGGGTAGGGAAAGATCATGGTTAGGGCCTCGGTGGAGATGTCAAATGTCATATATGTGTAATTATTATAGTAGACGTTCCAAGTGCTAAGTTGCTACCCTATGCTAGGGAGGGAGGATGGGCTGGTGCCCTAAAAGAAAGTAGATGTTTGGATGGAGATCGCTTGCAAATTTGAGAAGATGAATTAG